CCAGCCACTCTTCCCCAAGCCTGTAGCAGAAGTAACAGAAAATCCATGACGCATATAAAATTTGACTAGGGTTGATTTGAATGATTGTCAAATGCCTGCCTTAATATTCTCAAGGACCGTTTTGCCAAAAGTACAAGCTATAGAAAATACCTGAGTTTTTCAAACCAAACCACAAAAGTACTCTGAATAAACTCTGATGAGACACTGAACACCTACACCTACTTACTTTAAAAAGCTGACAACCACCTCAGGTTGATCACATAACTCATGATAGAGGTGAAACTTCCAACCTATCTAAAACCATCTTCCACTTTTCTAAACAAGCCCCTAACCTCTGTGACCAATTCGTAAGTTGTGTGGAACTAACACTGTACTTTGGAGTGGTAACAGCCAGGTAAAGAGGTTTGCCTTTAACATTCAAGCATACAAAGCTGTACTAAGCAAAACAAAAGAGACTGGGTTATTCTCTTTCTAGACAGAAATGCAAGCTTGTGAGCAAGTTGGAAAGAGAAGGTGACCAGTGTATGGGTTTTGGCTGGGATAGAGTTAATTTTCTTCGTAGTAGCTTGTACGATGCTATGTTTTGGATCTGTGACCAAAACAGTGTTGATAACACACCCATGTTTTAGCTGCTGCTGAGCAGTGCTTGCACAGCATCAAGGTCTCTTCTGCTTCTCACCCCACCCCACCAGCGAGCAGGCTGGGGGTGCCCAAGAAGTTGGGAGGGGACACAGCCGGGACAGCTGACCCCAACTGACCAAAGGGGTATCCCACACTGTATGACACAGCAATAAAAGCTGCAGAAAAGAAGGAGGAAGGAGGGACGTTCAGAGTTATGGTGTTTGTCTTCTGAAGTAACCGTCACATGTGAGGTGGGATGCCTGCCGATGGGAAGGAGTGAATGAATTCCTTGTTTTGCTTTGCTTGCATGCGCAGCTTTGCTTTACCTATTAAACTGTCTTTATCTCAGCCTACAAGTTTTCCAATTCTCTCCCCCATCCCACCATGGGGGAGTGAGTGGGCGGCTGTGTGGGACTTAGCTGCCTACTGGGGTTAAATCACAACAACTAGTGAACAAAAGCACAGTTTATGTCAGCATTTTTTCTCTATCACTGTTATTCTTAGTATTCATCAGTTATGAAAAATATCCTATTTAGGCAAGGAATCTCTACAAAACTGAAGTTAAATTATGAGAAAATACTATATTTACTTTCAGTATAACAAAATAATTATAAGGTTTAAATTTTTTTCAAAATGGAATTACCTTTAAATTCAATAGATATTCACAGGCAGCGTAACAAATGCCAATACCTTCTTCAGCACTGGTACCTCTGCCAAGTTCATCAATTATGATGAGTGATTTGTCATTAGCATTTTGTATGATATATGTTATCTAGGAAAATATTTAATGTGTTATCATTCCTATAAATGCATTTTTTAAAAACCCTAATAGGAATACTGCTGCTAATAGGAATACTTTGTGTTATTCAGATGAAACTTAATGCAGAAATTTAAAAAAATTTTGTCAGATCCAGAAATTTTACCTTTTCACAGCTTTCAAATAGCTGTCAATTCTAATCAAGCAAAGACTCATACTATTGCACTCTTTCTCTTTTCCATTGAACATATCACTTTCCCTCAAAATCATTATCAGTTTGGGAAAGGGAATTGAGAGGGCTTAGGCTCCTACAAATAATCATTTAAGGTCTAAGAAATAACAAAACGTTGAAACTACTGTCCAATAGAGCACTGATTTTTACTCGTTTTGGGATACCTTTTTATTTAAGATATGCCTGGTTTTCTGTGGTTTATCATCAAGGTAACAGATGAAAGCTGAATTTTTGACTACTTTTCAA